ACCAAATGCTTATGAGGATGTAGAGCAGTAGGAACCCTCATACATTGCTAATGGGAATGCAAAATGGTACAGCCACCTTGGAGGACAGTTTGGCAGTTTCTTTAAAATCTGAACATGTTCTTCCCATATAATCTGGCAGTTGTGCTCCTTGATATTTATCCAAGTGGAGTTGGAAACTTACGTCCACACAGAAACTGGCACACAGATATTTATGGCAGCTTTACTGTTCTACAACAGGTGAGTGGATAAACTGGTACATCCATACATGGATATTATTCAACAATAAAAAGAAATGAGCTCTCAAGTTGCCATAAAAAGACATGGGGATACTTAAATACATATTATTAAGTGAAGTCAATCTGAAAAGGCTGCATACTTTATGATACCAATTATAAGACACTCTGAAAGAGCCACAATTGTGGATATAATAAAAAGATGAGTGATTGCCAGGGAAGGGGCTAGGGGTGGAGGAGAAATGCATAGGCCAGAGCACAGGATTTTTAGGGCAGTGAAGTTACTCTGTACTATATAATGATGGATAGGTGTCATTATACATTTCTATAAACTCAAGAACATACAACAAGAGTGAACCCCTACGGTAAACTAGGGACTTTGGATGATTAGGATGTGTCAACATAGGTTTATCCTTTGTAGAAAATATACCATTTTGATGAGTAATGTTGATAATGGGGAAGGTCACTCGTGTTTAGGGGTAGGGTATATATGGGAATTCTCTGTACCTTCCTTTCATTTTGTTGTAAACCTAAAACTATACTAAAAAAATAAAGTCTTAAAACATAAGGAGTGTTATTGTCTTATTTTATTTTTTGTATTGATTTCAGTACTTTTAGCTGAGAGGATCTTTTAACACGTGCTGATTTTTAAAATTACATGGATTTTAAAAATCTATGCTAAACAACCAGGAAGTTTGATAAGAGCCTGCAGTTAAGGTCAGAAGAATGAAACTGGACCACTTCCTCACACCATACACAAAAATAAATTCAAAATGGATGAAAGGCCTAAGTGTGAGCCAGGAAACCATCAAAATCCTAAAGGAGAAAACAGGCAACAACATCTTTGACCTTGGCCGTAGCATCTTCTTACTAGACACATCTTTGGAGGCAAGGGAAACAAAAGCAAACATGAACTATTGAGACTTAAAAAGCTTCTGCACAGCAAAGGAAACAATCAACAAAACTCAAAGGCACTCTGTGGAATGGGAGAAGACATTTGCAAACAGCATAGCTGATAAAGGGTTAGTATCCAAAATTTACAAAGAACTTATCCAACTGAACACCCAAAAAACAAATTATCCAATTAAGAAATGGGCAGAAGACCTCAAAAGACATTTTTCCAAAGAAGACATCCAGATGGCTAACAGACACATGAAAAGATGCTCAATATTGCTCATCACCAGGGATATACAAATCAAAACCACAATGAAATAGCACCTGACACTTGTCAGAATGGCTAAAATTAGCACAGGAAACAACAGATGTTGGCAAGGATGCAGAGAAAGCGGAACCCTCTTACACTGTTGGGAATGCAAACTGGTGCAGCCACTCTGGAAAACAGTATGGAGTTTCCTCAGAAAGTTAAAGATAGAACTACCCTACAGCCCAGCTATTGCCCTTACCAAAGGATACAAAAATACAGATTCAAAGGGACACTTGCACCCCAGTGTTTATAGAAACACTATCAACAATCGCCAAACTATGGAAAGAGCCCAAATGTCCATTGACCAATGAATGGATAAAGAAGATGTGGGATACACACAGACACACACACACACACACACACACACACACACACTGGAATATTACTCAGCCATCAAAAGGAATGAAATCTTGCCATTTACAAGAATGTGGATGGAGCTAGAGTGTATTACACTAAGTGAAAATCATCAGAGAAAGACAAATACCATATGATTTTACTTGTATGTGGGATTTAAAAAACAAAACAGCACGTGGGAAGGGAAAAAAAGAGGGAAACAAGCCATAAGAGACTCTTTACTGTAGAGAACAAACTGAGGATTGGTGGAGGGAGGTGGGCAGGGGGATGGGCTATAAATGGGCAAGGGGGCATTAAGGAGGGTACTTGTGAGCATTAGGTGTTGTAAGTGAAGAATAACTAAATTCTGCTTTTGACACCAATATTACACTATTGGCTAACGAATTGAAATAAAAATTTGAAACAAAATTGTCAGAATATTAAAAGAAAATAAAGTCTGTTAGATTTGAATTACAAAAAAGGCACATTGTATCATTTTTATCTTAATGCTAAGTGGGAAATTACTTGAATTTATTTTCTTTGATACATTTAAAGTTTTTATAGGTTTGATAAATAAGAGTAATTATACTTAATAAAGGGCCAGAAAAAAATCACCAATAAAAGATCCTTGAGATTATTGGGTTCTCTGACATCTATATCAGATTCCTGACTTTTTAGCTACACTGAAAACTTTGACAGCTGACTTAGCAACAAGGTGCTTTCTCCATACTTGCTGTAGGACCTGCATAGGCACCATCGTGAGCAAGAAAATGAGTCAAAAGAATTTGTTTTTATAGGTTCACTAAAGGTATATAGAGATGAACTCCTTCATTGCCTGTGGTTACATAAGTAGACTCCACTGATATTTTTGATAGAAATGGCTACTTAATTTAAGGAAGAAGATAGTATCCTTGAAAATAAGTAGTAGTTGAACTAATTAACAGGAACAACAGCTATCTGGAACATGTAGTGCATTTATATGCAAAGGTTTGAAAAGTGGTGGTTTATTTTTGTGACTATTGTTGGCATTATTTTTCTCCTAAAGCTCTTCTGAGTCTGAAAAGGTGGAATTTTATATGAGGTTCACACTCTTATTTTTGTTAAGAATGATATGTCTGCCTCTTTGCATGAATTTGTACTGTACTCCGAGGTGAATTCTTGCTACGTGATCTTAGTAACTCTTTTATGTGTTGAATTAAACCAGAGTCTCATAAATGATTGATTGTGAGGTACGTTTGAAACACAACTTCTATTTTATAACCCTTTTGCAGAACTTTCAGGCTCTATTTAGATAACAGTATGCATGGGATTAAATCAGAAATCTGACATATGTCTAGAGAAAGTTTTCTTTTTTTAAACCATATTTGTGCCTTTTGTGACCTATACATGGAATTTCATCCTAAACAGTGTTTGAGCCTAGAAAATAGGGAAGATGTGAACACTGGTGCCCTGTAATAAGTCAGGAACATGATTGAATCATAGTCACGTAAGTTTCAAGGCTGGATGAGTCAAATGAAATCTTGGGTAACTTGCCATATTGATTCTCTTTTATGATGAACGTGGATTTGATTACTCAGCTTCAGGACTGGTTATTGCTTAGCCTTCCATATCCCCCTGAAGAGAATAAAGTTGAGGTTACAATCTAAAGTATGATTACAACCTAAAATAGGTAGGGAGTTAAAAAATCTTCAGGTGCCTGCATTGTATCTTAACATCTTAACCATAGATTGTAATGGAATCCTAGGTTATAATACCTTATACATAGATTTTGTTATGGTCATTTAAGGGTTTATTTGTTGTTTTTAAAATTATATTTAATTATAAATAAAGATATTTATAATTAATAATGTATAAATATATATATTTATAGTTTGTCATTTTAGTTGAAGCAGATTAAATGCTAAATATAACATTTAAAAAATCTTCACCTCAGTTCAGTCACCCATTGATTAATGGCATGGAAAATATTGTGTGTATGAAACACAGCAGAATTTCTGTCATACACTCTGCTACTCAGCCTCCTTTTAGGTTACTTTAACAACTTTCTTGGTGAAAAATTAATATTAGCCAAAACAGAACCCAAAAGGTGAATGTATAGCAAAAGAAATACAGTTAACTCTTGAACAACATGGGTTTGAACTCTGTGGGTCCACTTATATGTGGATTTTTTATGGCCCAATGCTATATATATATATATATATATATATATATATATATATATATATTCCCATCCTTATGATTTTCTTAATATTTCCTTTTCTGTAGCTTACTTTCTTATAATTCAGGACATGATACACCTAACATACAAAATATGTATTAATCGCCTGTTTATGTTATTAGTGAGGCTTCTAGTCAACAATAGGCTATTAGTGGTGAAGTTTTGGGGGAGTCAAAAGTTTTATACTTGGATTTTGGACTGCAGATGGTGAGGGAGGTCAGTGCTCCCCAACACCTGTGTTGTTTCAGGGGGCAACTCTAATATTTTTAGGCTTATCCATTATATTCTTTCAAGGACGGTATTAGATACTTGACAATAGAGCTAGCACCAAAAACAGGAACACATATGATGAGTGCTATTGAGTATTTGTAGTTTATTTTTATACAATTATTTTAATTGAACAATGTAAACATGTTTTACCCTCAGGATACCAAAAGGGTCTGATGTGTCTAATGTTTGTTCTACTTTTTCAAAACAATCTAGAATTCCAAATGCTTTCCTAATTTTATATTTTACTAAGTAGCCAGTTATTTCTCATCAGTGTATGTATATCAATTGTAAACCTGAGGCAGTTTTGTTCCTCAGGGGACATTTAACAATGTCTGGAGACATTTCTGATTGACACAACTGGGGGGCCATTCATGGCATAGAGTGTGTAGAAGCCAGGGATACTAAGCATTGTATAATACACGGAACAGAGTTATCTGGCCCAAAATGTTAATAATGCCTTAATTTAGAAAGCCTGATGTATATACCTTCATTCTTTAAATATAGGGGAATAAAGCATCACCTTTAAATTTAGTACCCATATTTATACTGCCATGACAATAATTTAGATAATGACTTATGAAAAAGATTTGAGGTAGCTTCACATGATAGGAGGGAGTTGTTCCTCAAAGATTATTCAGTTACAGTAAGTTACAGTTTATCTCTGCATTTCATATGTTACAGAAATGGCTTTACTTTTTGTGATTGGGTTCATGTAATTCTTCGTGTTTTTTTTTTTTTTAAGCACTTAAATATAAATCCAGTCTCATGAAGGAGAAAACCATTCTTTTATTTGTTGGTGGACTAGTGCTCACTATAGCTGTCATTGTTGGAGCCATTCTTTTTGTCCCAGGTAAGATACACAGTTATATGAGTGAGGCAGGATTGATGGAAATGAGGACCCGGGGGCAGTGGGGTGGGGGGGGCTCATAGGGCTGTTGTAACACATTACCACAAAGTGGGTGTCTTAAAAGTGTAGAAATTTTCTCACAGTTCTGGAGGCCATAAAGCTGAACTAAAGATGTCCTCAACACCATAATCCCTCCTGAGGCTCTTGGGGAGAAACCATTCTTTGCCTCTTCTAGCTTCTGATGTGTGCTGGCACTCTGTAGCTCCTTGGCTTATGGCACCATAATTTCCATTGCTGCCGCAGTAGTGTCTTTGTCAAATCTCTCTCTGCCTGTCTTACAGAGACACTTGTCATTACATTTAGGGCCCACCTGGATAATCCAGGATAAACTCCTCCTTTCAGGATCCTTAACTGAATCATCTTTTGCTATATAATGTAATATTCTTTTGCCATAGAAGTTAATATTCACAGGCTCCAGGGATTTGGAGGTGGATGTATCTTTAGGGCCATCATTCACCCCACTGCAGAGGCAGACTTCATTTGCCAAGACCTGGAAGTGGGGATGGGTGTAGGAAACAATTCTATCTGAAACCACTTGTTTTTGGAAGATGGGAGTGGAAGGGGGAAGAAAGGGAGTGCAGCACATGGAAAGATGGCAGATATGAGCTGGGACCCACAGTGCAGACTGGAGAGATCTGTCATTGCTTTGGAGCTAGATACAGTACAGTGTACTGTTTAGGAACATAAATTTGGCAGCTCTGTTTGCCTCTGGAGTTAGGACACCGGGAGGACGAGAAGAGTTGAGAAGATAACTTGAAAGAACAACTGTATTGACTTTGGGACAGATTGAACACAGCAAGTAAAGGGAATAGTAAGAGGGACTCCCAAGTTTCTCACTGGAATTCTGTGGGTAGTTGAGGCAAAGCCAAGTCAAGGTTTCCACATGTTGAGACTTAGATGTTGACATTTAGTAGATGTTTTAAGTTTGGTCTTAATAAAAAAATAGTTGTGGGGTGCCTGGGTGGCTTAGTCGGTTGAGCGTCTGATTTCAGCTCAGGTCATGATCTCACGTTTTGTGAGTTCAAGCCCCACGTTGGGCTCTGTGCTGACAGCTCAGAGCCTGGAGCCTGCTTTGGATTCTGTGTCTCTCTCTCTCTCTGCCCCTCCCCTGCTCACGCTCTGTCTCTCTCTATCTCAAAAATAAATAAAACATTAAAAAATAAAATTAAAAAATAGTTGTTTTGTGTGAAGTTTTGGGAGAAATATATTTTTGAACCTTTTGCAGTTTGTAAGAGTAGTATTGAGATTAATACACTTAGTAACTTTGAGTACTTTAACTTCCTGTAAAGTAGGAAGTACACAGGATAATATTTTTAATGTTATTTTTATTAACAGGTGAATATTCAACAAAGAATTCTTGTGGACTTGGTTTAATTGTGGTTCCTACAGTGATTTTAATATTACTTCAGTACTGTGTGTTTATGATAGGTAAGTATATGTTATAGCATGATTTTGTCTACCTTTTTCTTTTTGAAAACATTTTTGGTTAAAATATTTCTTGTATGATTTTCTTTTTTTCTTTTTTTCACAACTTAATAAAAGTCGGCTTATGTTCTTAGTAACACTTCCCCTGTGTGGATTAATTTTAAGGTTAGCTTAGGTTTTCAGGGCATTCTATTATTTAATAAAAAGTAATTTTCATATATATTTGATGCTAGCCAGTGGATTTTTAAAATTATGTTATATAATTTCTTAATGATTATCTTCATATTTTTATTTCAGTTTTTTCAAGTTATAAGTAGACATTAAACATGCCCTTTCTCTTCTTTTGCCAAGCCTGTCTTAAAAAATAGTTCTACAAATTAGGGTTATCAATTATAAATAGAAATATATCTTTTTTAGTTATTGGCAAATCTCAACATTGTAGATTTAAAAGATGATGCAAGTATCCAAATTGTAATTGGTATAATCTTCACTGCATTTTTGGAGTCAATCACTAACATATTTTTGTTATTATTACAGTCTGTTTTTTCCTATTTGCACATTTAACTCGGTCTTTGAGCTTATCTCTGGCTTGGTGTACATTGGAAAGTTATTAATTTGTTATAAAATCACGGATCTAGGCACACGAGACAGAGGTTATGATGTTTACAGCAGCATGTTTTGCATAATGGTTCTCTTTGCTAGAGTAATTTTATGTGCATGTGGTGAAGTCACGCATAATAGCCATTCATACTGTAAAATGCACAAATGTGGTAAAAGCAGCATTGTTCTAAGGTTTGGGGTAAAAAGCACCAGTCCAGCTCAGCTCACTGTGAAAATAAAAGACTGCTGAACGTGTGACTCTGGAACAGACTACTTGTGTGAAAAGGCAAAGTTTAAATTGTTGGGAAAGAATCAAGCATCTCATAAGGAAATCCAGAGTCAGTCTATGGTCACTGGATATTATTTTTGATTGCACAAAATACAAGTCGGTATGATGGCTTCTTAAATGCTCTCAACCCACTTTTTCTTTCTTCAGGTGTTTGGATGTCTTCTTTCACCATCGCCATATTGATCCTTCAGGTACTGGGCTATGTGCTCTCTGTGGTTGGACTAAGCCTCTGTGTCTCAGGTAAGGGTTACGTTCTTTTCTCATCCCAGTTTTTCTTACTACAGATTTCTCTTGGACAGAGCTCTTCTTCCTCCTCTCCTTCTTCTTCTTTATCCATTCATCCATTCCCCTATTGAAGGACATCCTGCTGCTTTCAGTTTTTGATGATTAAGAATAAAGCTACTATAAACATCCATGTGCGTGTTTTTGTGTGGACATAAGTTTTCAACTCGATTTAAGTAAATACCAAGGAGTGTGATTGCTGGGTTGTTATGTTAAGAACATATTTAGCTTGTAACGAATTGCCAACCTATCTTACAAAGTGGCTGTGCCATTTTGCATTCCCACCAGCAATGAATGAGAGTTCCTGTTGCTCCACATCCTTGCCAGCATTTGGTGTTGTGGGCTTTGTGAGCTTTCTTTTTTTAACTTTCATTTTTTCCCCACTGAGAATAGTGCTTTCCATATTGCCATGAGAATATTGGCTGTATATGGCTTGTGGGCTGATTATTCTAGCAGCCAAACTGCTGTGCCTATATTTGTGGGAGAATTTTTTAAATAACCAGCCTCTAATTGGTTGGAACTTAAGGCTTTACACACTATTTTCTATTAGTCTTGATGTGATAAGGCACATGTTATGCAAACAAAATCTTTTGTCTTTTAATAATTTGGAGGCATTTCACTGAGTTAATAATGATGAATATATGTAGGTAGTTTTTGTTTCTTAATAATTAGAAAAAGAATTACTCTCCTTAAAACTTGATTTATTGTTGTTTGTTTTTTTAAAAAGATAACTTATTTCATGTAGATTTTTAATGTAAAATCTCACTTGTTTTTACAGAGTGCACCCCAGTGAATGGCCCTCTTCTGATTTCAGGTTTGGGTATTATAGCTCTAGCAGAATTACTTGGATTAGTTTATATGAAACTTGTTGGTAAGTCAATCTTATTTTTTGTTAGCCTGTGCCGAGAATTTCAGTTATATAATTGAAATATAACGAATGTAATGCTTTGATTGGCTCTTATGGTTTGACTAAAGAAATTTATCAGTTTTCCCAAAAACGAGAATATATCATGAATGCAGCTGTATTTCTTAAATAATAAAATTGGAATGATTTGGGGGTAATGAAAGAGGGTAGAAGTAATATGAATTAATGAAAATTTTAGATTATAAACTATTTTTTTAAAAATGGCTTTATGTTTTAGAATGTATAAACTATACTAGCTAAAAGGAGAGAATGTTGAGGATTTGTTTTATATTTCTTTATTTTTTATTCTTATTTTTATTTTTTTTTAATGTTTACCCACTTTTTTAGAGACAAGAGACAGAGTGTGAGCAGGACAGGGGCAGAGGGAGGGGGAGACACAGAATCTGAAACAGGCTCCAGGCTCTAAGCTGTCAGCACAGAGCCTGAAGTGGGGCAAAGATTCATTTTAATAGAAAAAGATTTTTAATTGTCCCATTGTTTCTATGAGAGACCTAGTTGTTACTTGCTCTTCTTGCAGATTGTTTATAGACCTTGGCTCCCCTAAGTAGACAGTTTGAAATTCAAAATCTGTCACTTTTGTTAAAAGAACAGTGTCTTTTGACTTTACTTGACTTTAAAATATTTTTACTTAAGAGACTCTTAAATATAGGGAACAAACTGAAGGTTGCTGGAGGGAAGGGGAATAGGGGAGATGAGCTAAATGGGTGATGGGTACCAAGAAGGGCCCTGTTGGGATGAGCACTGGGTGTTATATGTAAGTGATGAATCATTAAATTCTATGCCTGAAACCATTAACACACTATATGTCAACTAACTTGGATTTCAATAAAATTAAAAATACAATACAATAAAACAAAATAAAACCTCCCAAAACAACAACAACAGCAACGAAACGAATATAATAAAAACATGGAGCTTTAAAATTTAGGCTTTTGCTGCCTTTTAATTAATTAATTAATTAATTTAATTTTTAAAATCCAGTATAATTAACATACAGTGTTATGTTAGTTTCAGGTACACAATATTAATGACCCAATAGTTCTATACATTATTCAGTGCTCATGATGAGAGTGTGCTTTTTACTTCCCTTTGCCTATTTCCCCCATCCTCCACCCACCTCCCCTCTGGTAACCACCAGTTCTGTATAATTAAGAATCTTATTTTTGTTGTCTCTTTTTTCCTTTGTTTTTGTTTCTTAAATTCCACATATCAGTGAAATCATATGGTGTTTGTCTTTCTCTCACTGACTTATTTCACTTAGCATTATACACTCTGGATCCTTCCATGTTGTTTTTACTACCTTTAAAATAAATGGTTAGTAAGTTGGAATTAGCTAATTTTTTTGAATTTCATATTTAATCTGCCAATTTTCAAATAACAGATGTCTATATAAATTCTTATTTTTTATACATAGAGGCAGATGCTTTTAGGTAGTATGTTGTCTGATTTAAGCTAAAAATGTTCCCTACAATTGGTTTACATTAGTATCCCTTTAAAAAAGTTGTTTTTTGGGGCGCCTGGGTGGCGCAGTCGGTTAAGCGTCCGACTTCAGCCAGGTCACGATCTCGCGGTCCGTGAGTTCGAGCCCCGCGTCAGGCTCTGGGCTGATGGCTCAGAACCTGGAGCCTGTTTCCGATTCTGTGTCTCCCTCTCTCTCTGCCCCTCCCCCGTTCATGCTCTGTCTCTCTCTGTCCCCAAAATAAATAAAACGTTGAAAAAAAAAAATTAAAAAAAAAAAAAAAGTTGTTTTTTTTATTTAAGCAGTAAACCAGACTCTTAAAAATTTGTCAAAATAATCAAAAGTTGCCAAATAATAGAGTAAAAAAAAAAATCAGTGTTCTGCTTTAGGTGAACTTTACTGTGTTTCAAAAATTATATGAACCTTGAATTGTTAGTCAAATAATTTTCCATATGGCTTACATAATATTGTCAAAGAAACTTTACCTTTGTTTCTTAACCTCAGCTTTTGCTGACTGATCATTGAGTTCAGTTTTGTTACATATTCTTTTGTCCCTATCTAGTTAATGCTTGTTAGATAAACAAATATACTTAACTAAAATCTCCCTATCTTTGGTTTATGTGTTCTCATAAATCAGAGTTGTTTCCTCAATGAAATTTTCTTAGTTCCTGACTCACAGGTCCATAAAATACAATGAAGACCTCTCAGCCCAATGGTAGTAGCTATCATGAGCATCACATTATGAATGTTGATACATATTCTATTTTTGTTGAATATTCCAGTCCCCATTTGTGTGGTTCTTGAAGTTTATACTGCTAGTTACATTGCTCTGTGTGAATGTTTGAGAATACAATGTTCTCCTCAATATTCCTACAACATGATGTAGTATTAGGTGTCTTTGATGGCTCTTTGTTCTGTTTATTCCTCATTGTCTGGATCATCCTCCCTTTTTTTAAATGTTTGCTTATTAGTTTTGAGAGAGAGCATGCACGCGCGTGGGGGAGGGACAAAGAGAGAGTGGGACACAGAATCTGAAGCAGGCTTCAGGCTCTGAGCTGTCAGCACAGAGCTGGACATGGGGCTTGAACTCAAGGACTGTGAGATCATGACCTCATCTGAAGTCAGACACTTAACCGACTGAGCCACCAGGCACCCCGGATCATCCTCCCTTTTATTGCCTTGCTCCCCATGCCTTCCATGTCTAACAAAGAATGATGTTCAGTAGAATTGCCAACAGGTCTGGAATGCCGACTCAGGTGAAAATAGGCATTGTCTAGCTACCACCTCCTGGGTCCTGTCTCTCCCTTCTCCATAGCTTATCTCCCAAAGAAGCTTGGGAAACCAGTGTAGTAACACACATACTGTTCTCATGTGAAAAATCGAAGTGAAAGTAAAATCCTAAAAGAGTTCCCCCAATTTTTTTCTTTATCATAGTTTAGCATATAGATATTTATATGTTAAGAATTTAGTCCAATTTTATTGACATTTTGAGAATATTCTAAATTAACTTTCCAAATCAACTTGTCTAATGCCAGAATTCAGAGGCACACCTTCGGTCAGTTGAAGGGCAAGAAGAGAAAAGGTACAGGAAAGTTGCTCTTTAGATAATGTGGTAGAATAGGAAAATTAGTGTGTTTTTCTTATATAATCTGAGTGTGTAAATATCAGTATATGTAACATTAAGGTTGCAAATTTTAGCATTTTTATCAGGAGGCAAGTAATTGTGTTTCCAAAATAAATTTTACTCATTGTGCTCTGTTTTGGAAAAGCTTAATGAATGTGTCTTGACTTAAATGCAATAAAATTCTCAGATTTTGTTGTTGTTAAAATCCAAGCTATCTTTTTTAAGAGTAAGTTAATGGCCCTATGAGAATTTTAACTTTGTTATTTTTATTATTTCCAAGTTTAAATTTGTAGCCTTAATTGTTACTTTAGAAGTAAGATTTTAACTTTCACTTTTTATGGTCTTTTTAAACTGTTGGATTTTTTTTTTTATTACTGGAAGTATTTAAGTTTTACAAAATGAAATTGGGGTTGGAAATAATGTGAATCACATAGAAAATTAAATACTGCTAACTAAACTCACTAGAATTAGGCTTGTTGATTATATGGGGCATTTATATCCATTATTTATAAGAGCCCATACTTGTTCATTTTGTTTTCCTTTTTTTTTAAGCCATTACCAGTTCAGTATAAAGACATATAATTATGTTTTGTTATAAATCAACCTACTAGTAATCAAAAACCAGATTTATCACAACATATCACTTGTTTTAGAATGACATGGAGTGAATATATATGTGATATTTTATAGTTCACTGTTAGGATGTTAGGAAGAGGTAGGTCTGCTATCAGTAGGAAAAATATTTCTGAAAATTCAAAACGTAGAAATATATTTGTGTCATGTCATCAGATGTTTCAGGGAGAGAAGAACAAATCAGGAAGAAACCTTGCAAGGGGGCTCATATGGAATCCTTAAAGCTTGTGGCTTAAAAATAAATAAATATATGTATTTAAACTACATATATATGTGACTACATACACACACACACACACATATACACATATGTATGTATGTGTGTAGTGCCTTAGGCATGGTAAGAACAGATAAACCACAGCCATTTTGTCACCTCGGTCATATGTGTGTGGGAGAGAATTAACTCAAGTGAAAACTCAAATTAGCTTTTGCACTTCTGGGTTTTATACTACTACTAGGGAGAGCACAGCTGACTGGTATCCCAGCTCTTATTTTCCAGAATGGTCTAGCCAAAATGTGATGTTCCCTGGACCTGAGAATTGGAACTCAGAAACTATTCTTTACACATTATTAGGATAGAAAAGGAGTTACTTGGAAGTTCTTAATGTTAATCCTGATAAATAAATTTATGATTTCAAAAATACAGCTCTAAAATCTTACCTCTGATCCTTCACGCTACCAGTCAGAAATTTGCACAGCTGTTCAGTTTTCTTTTCTTGGATAGAACATAGAGTCATGGTTTAGTTGAAGTGATTTGTATATATGTGTAACTACTGTGATGATCCCTAATGAAGTTCTATAATTCTGCTTGGCTTCTTTTGAGAGGCTGCTAAATGTGATTCACCCATATTCCCAACCCATTTCACTCCATACTACTTTAGAAAGTGGTTTCCTTGTTTGGCTGCAAGGACCACACCGCTGCCCCCGTGCCTCCTGTAAGGGAGATTTACTTTAAAGCCACACGTGACACTAGCAGAGATGGGGATCTCTTGAGAACTGAGATATAACCAGACCTCACAGGGGCTGAGACAGTAAGCCATTTAGGAATTAGAAAGTTCTGATACATCTCTACAAACTGAATCATCGTGTTGCCCTCTGAGTAACAAGAGTTAGTCTTTGCCCATCTGCAGATTATACTGTGAGTTCCTTTCTGGTTCTTTCCCTAAGAGCTCATCCTCTCCTTTATGGCCTCATCTTATATTTTGTTCTTGTCTTCTCCTTGGTAGTTTCTCTTATGTTTGTCTCTAATCTTTGAGCTTCTCTCCCAGCTTGCTTTCTGTCTCCTTGTCACCTTCCTTTCCATCACCAACTTTCTGGTCTACTTTCTCTTTCTCCTCTTCAGGTCCCAGTGGGAGAGAAAAACTTTTCAGGCTAGTTAGTCACCATGGTCTCTGTTTGAGAGAGCCTGTTGGCTTCTGGCTGGTTTCTACATTGGCTGTCCTTGCGTGGGGTCTCACTCCCATTGCCCATCAGCTTTGGAAGCTTGGTAGGGGTGAATGTGGAGGAGGAATGGTAGTAAGTAAAGAGCACAGAACACTAGAGCGGTTCTGGGGCCCTGCATCGGTAGCTCACAAGCAAATTCAGCCTTCCATCCAATCCACAGGATAATGTAATTGACTATCCCTCAATAGCATTACCCTCCCACCAGCCTGTTCACGGGATGTTGCTGGTTCATGCTTTCATACATATAGGACTCTGATTTAGGACTGGCTTCCGCTGCGCTGGGTCCTTCTCACTTGGCTTTTGTAACGAAGTTCTCTCTTTCTCCCTATGCAACTGAAGTAAATGTTTTTCCCCTCTCTCTTTCTCCATGCCCTGTATTCCTTCATTAACCAGTCCACTCAGAAACAGTGCAAAGGGTAACTTGGAAAACTGAGAAAGAGTACATGGAGAAGAGGTTGATTGTGGCTAAAACTAACTGCTGGGAGAATTCATTGAACTCCGAGGGATCTGAATATTTTTTTTCAGTTTGTTAGCTATTTGGAGCATTGAAAACTGGAAAGATGGAAGCAGAAGAGAAGACTGGGTCACAAGGAATGAGAACAGTGAGCTAATAAGGGCAGGCAGTGGAGTAGAGGTGAAGATTGGTCATTGCCACCTTCTGTCCACATTCTGGCTGGGTTGAGTGGGGAGGGGTATAGAGTCCACAGTGGGGATGAATAGATGATAGACAGCATTTTTCACCAAGAAGTTTAACAAATGGCTGATTTAGGAGAAGTATAGCCTGTACAAATGAGAGAATGTATTGGTTTATTATTTGATGTAGGTGGGTCATTTGATCATTATATTCTATCAATGCATAAAATCATTTGAAATTAACCGTTAATAGTCATTGAGATTAAACATTATATTGCCTTAACGTATTAAATTTATTTTCTGAATTTTTAATTATATCAGCTTCCAATCAGAAGACTATACAACCTCCTAGGGTAAGTTAAACTTTCTTAAATGAATTTGGAATGATCAGTTGATGGTTTTGACTGAGAAATGATAATTGAGATAGATACTAAAGCCTTTTGCTCTCTGTTCATTGTATACCATCAGATTAAGAGAACACTGAAGTAATTTCATGACTTTTGCATGAGTAGATCCAACTTACTTTAAAATATATTTGGTCATTTTAGTTGCAGTAGGACAGAATCAGTGATTCCTTAACATTGTGCTAATAATTTCTCAAGTGACTTCTCACTTTCTCAGAACTGGAAAGTTTATGTGTAAGAATAATGGTTATTATCTCTGCTGAAGGAAGCTGATTCCAGTATATTGCCTCACCTATTGGCTCCATTTGATGTAGGTATACAAAATGTTACTTCAGGCTTTTAAAATGAGAGCGAGAGATTTGTATGAAATTGATTTCATTAAAAATAATAATCTATGCAATAAATGTACATATTGCTGAAATATATCTGTTCTGAATTATGATTCGTTTCCCTTCTTCCCTCATTTTAGAAGCATTTTTCTTCCTCCAAACTGTACTATAGTTTTTACTCTATCTTGGATACCTTAAAAACTATCTAAGAAAATTCCAAGAAAAGGAACAAATTAGGAAATAAACCAGATAAATGAGCAGGTGAAAAAAACCCGTGTAGAGAATTATCATGTGACAGGCCCAAGAACTATTTTATGGAAAGAAGACCTGGAGAGGACTATACTGTACTCACCTTCCTAGAAGGAATAATAGTAGCTCTGTCTGAAATGCCAAAATTGAGACTCTTGTCTGTGGCAGGAAGTGGAGATTACATATACTCCTGAGTCTGACAAGCTTCCACAGACATGTCTGATAGGCAAGGAGGGCCTGAGGGTGCATCTTTCCACGGGTGTTTATTCTGAAAAGATTGGGGCTGTAGCTACATTGGTCACCAACAGCCAGCAGTGTTTAAAGTGCCTCTGTTAGAGATAATCCAACCATTGGACCCTTACATCTTAACACATTTTCTTTCCTTGTTACTGAGTTCAACTTGCATGATTTGAAAATGATTGTGTTTTTGTCTCCCCCCTTGTTTAACTGTATTATCTATTATTGTGTTGCTATTTATGTTTGCACTTTTTTTGAGAAGTTTAAATTTCTTGAACTGAAAGAGGCAGAGTGGGTGGGAAATTCTGCATAGAAAAATATTAAAAGACTAATAGTTATTATTAAACTATCAGGTAAACTTGGCAATCTTTGTTTCCTTAACTTTTATTGCCTTACTTTGTTTTTAGCCTATAGGATTCACTCTTTACTATAGAGTTTAAATGTTAGCATATATAAATTTTAGTATAAAAGGACATGAAATAAATTCTATTTTTACGTAAATATATTTTAAATATTTTCCAGAAAGCTGTAGAGGAACCCCTTAATGGTATGTGGTTATTACAAACTTGTATATTCTTCTTGATCCATTACCAGATGATAATTTGAACTGGCCCCAAAGCAGTTAGAATGCTCCATCTGTGCCTGGGGAAAAAAATCCCATTTTTTTCTTGCCTGACCTCTCTTTTCTTGATTATAATAATTAATATAATAATTAAAATAATAATTAAGAGTATTACTATTGTAATGTTCTTACCTCTAAGAAAAACGCACTCCTCAGTATCTCTCCAGTCCTTGCTTGCACTGGCCAAGCAATACTTAGGCAAGAAGACCATTGCCTTATATTAGCCGATAGAAAAGAATCTCAATTAATTTCAGTTTCTGATTTACAAATTCAGATACAGACTGTCATCATGTCGTGAGACCCAAGCATCTCACTTTCTTTCTCCCTAAACCTAGATCTATGTTCCCAACTGACTTTGTTTCCTTTGAGAGTCTGGATATGAGCCACAGACATGCTTTTGTAATAAAGTAATAGACTTAAAATTAATTTGTCTTCATAGCTGTGGAATAGTTAGCATGATATTACTGCATATTTATTTAGAAATGATTTCTAATTGTTGAACCTTACTAACTGCTTGGCTTGTTACTAATTCTTAGCATTTAAAGAATCAAAAGGAATGATGAATGATGGTAAGTGTAAAATGCACCTGCAATTATAGATTGATTAAAATAGGAACATTGAAAAGAAATAAAAGGGCTTCTTTAAAGTATGCTTTTTTTGTATATAAAAGGGACACTGTCAAATCATAAAGGTCTACATTTTTTGATTTATAAAACTTAAAGCTACTCTTAAAAGTTGCAAAACCAGTGATATAAAAGCTGTAGGGTGTCACTAATCAGTCTTTCCAGTCTTACTGCTTGTAGCAAAGAGAAATTACTGCTTTTTTAAAAACATTTTTCAGCTACAATGTCTGGTGCCTGTAACTTTTAAAAATGATTTTTAGAAGACACATAGATAATCTGGCACAAAACTTTATCATCTTGACAGGGTTTCTTTTGTGCTTGTGTTGGTGATTTGTTGCATTTAATTCATGGGGACTTAATATCTCTGCTTTTCCAACTAGGGACTCAGTTGTAACCATTTGAAAAAGGATTTAAAAAGAAATGTTTAGTCACTCAGCTTTTGCTTCTTGTTTTGGAACTCTGGGCTAATCACTTCTATTTTGTATTATTTCAAAGACATTTGCTAGTTTTTAAAGATAAGTAAGTCGGACATATTGAGTGCTATGAGTATTCATTTTGATTTTGCTTGAAGATGCTGTGATACTTCAATTCTGTTAATATTTTAATAACTATGTTTTTATCTTATCAAACATTTCTTCATACCTTTGATATTTAGTCATTCCTTGATCATGTAAATAGTGTGCTATTTTACTGCTTTAACCTCCTCACCTCTGTGGCAAAGTGCAGCATTTAACACAAGAGGCTATATTCCCATGAGTGCAATTAATTTTTGCATAAGATTAAAAACACACCAATTGTGTACTGGTGGACAAAGTTTAAAACAATGGTTAGGCTGTGTTCAACAAGGAATCACAGAACGATTCCACTTTTGTAGGTTTGTGTTGTAGCCACAGCCTTTACTACAAAAACGTCTGTTTTATTTACCAACCACCACCTTCCTAATAAAAAAAAATTTTGCAGTTGGTAGGAATAAACTAAGTGACATTCAAAAAAAAAACTGGTACCTGGAATTGTGGCATAGTTCGTCCATGTTTACATTCTCTTGTTTTGTTTTGTTTTTATTTCTTTGCTCTTTTTCTTCTGCCATGTGATTCTTCTGTAGTTGTATAAAGAAATGAAACTCCTTTTCTCTGTTTTCAGAAAACTAGTATAAGAACCCCAAGTGCATTTTCCTTTATTAATTTCATGTGACTTTTTTTGGAACCACCATGTCCGTAGATACAGCAGTTTTTGTGTGTTCATAGCATACAAAGTCTATGATGATCTTTGAAATTCCCTTAATTTTGCTAATATTTAGCTGTTCAGAATTTGTTCTTGTTTTTTTTCTTTTTTTTTAACCTTTTTTTAAATCTTTCTGGTGGGCTCCAGGCCCTCACAGTGTGTCTGCCTCGTCAGTTTCAGACTGTCTTTCTAAGGACCACAATCCCGTTTTCTCTTTCACTTGCACCTACTCGCATGTTTATTTCACTCACATCAAATGAATGATGTAGGCTAAAGTGAATGTGATAGAATATTATTCTGTGGTCAATATCTTTTGCATTGAAAAACCAACATCTCTTGGCTTCTCAGCCAACCCAGCCAACTGAGATTATCAGACTTTGTTGATGTTTATTTTCATGTGGCATTGGCCTTTTACTTACTACAACTAAAAAGACTAATGATTTACCCGGTTTACATCTGTGACCTTTGTAAATCTAAGATTAAACACTTTTTCTTTATTTTTAGATGCTGTATATCTGAAATTTTTAATTTTTAAAAATTCATCAACTTGTTAATGCATAGAAAATGGACAGGAATAATGATTATATGTTCATTTTTCAATTTTCCAGAGTAACTGAAGTGAAGTGATGGACTCTGATTTGGAAAGTAGTAAGATATGAAAGGAATACAATTGTGTTTAAGCACCATGGCCTTGATTCACTGTTCAGGAGAAGAAAACAAGAAAAATTACTGGTTCTCATCTGTGGGAGAAAGTAAATCTTTGACCCTTAAATGATTGTTACAGTTAAGTTTTTATTCAAAGCATTTGTAATTTAGTTAATAAAAGAATTATTATCTGTGTTGTGTGCCCAATTGAGATCCAGTTTTTTGTTGTTATTTTTATTCAGTAAAGGGCAAGGGTAGAGTGGCTAATTTCCAAGAATGATGCCTTTCAGATCTTAGGGCCTGTTGACTGTAGTTTACCAGTTTGAATTGGTTCGAGGTTGAGAATCACGTGACGCTAACCTGTTGGTTTCCCAGAGAGATCTGTGAAGAACAGTGGCTTCCACAGAACCTTAGCACACTCGGGTTCACAGCCACTTTGGCAGTATGGCTGGTGTTAGCCGAGTAAGGTTTCTGGAACGTCTGGGTCAAAGGAATAGCAAATTTAAGTACAGATAGGAGTTTGGTTGGGAACATCTTGAATGCCGCCTACATCTCCGGCAGGAGACCATGGTCTTCATTCTTGGGGGTTGCCATTCACACATTCTTCCTTCAGCATACCGTGTGATGAATCCTTTTCAGAGTTAGGGTAATTTTATTGATGAATGTGTTTATCTCTTATTCACACAACCCTTTAAACCCTGTCTTGTCCTCCTGTTATTTGCTTCTGCTGTACAAGATGTAGCACCTTTTCTCCTCTTTGAACATGGTCCCGTGACACGTGACATGGTAGCATCATTGCAGAAAGGAGCCAGACTTATTTTCAGAGAACTATGTTCACACTTTTCAGCAAAAGTAGCGATGGTTGTAACATATGTATTTCCTTCCTCGGATTTGAAGGCACAATCTACAATGTTTCTTCACTTCTTTTCTGATCTGGGGCATGAAAAACCAAGATTGAGATTTGAACTGTGAGTCTCCTGCATGGCAATATAACGTGTCACCGTCAGGCCAACAAGCCAGCCCTCGGAAGGGTGGTTTTGTTACTGTTGTGTCTGTGTTGCATGATAAACACTCATCATCTCCCTCCTGTAGTCCTGCCTCCGTAAGCCCCTTACCCTAAGATTGGAAAGTAAAACAAAACCCCCACGTTTCCTACCCCCATTAGAAGAAAACTAACATTCTGACCGTTGTGATCACCTGGAGTACTCTTAGATTATTAGCACTCGGTTCCCTCTGTGTGTGTGTGTGTGTGTGTGTGTGCGCGCGCACATGTATAAGGTAGGCACGTGCATCTTCTGTGTGGACAACAGTGGGTACCCACAGGAGAGCAAATGTTAATTTCATGCTCTTAGTAAAAACATTTAAAAAGATCTTTATTGGATGGAATTATATTTGATGCGAATATTTGATCATTTAAAACTTCAAAAACTTCTAGGTAATTTGCCAAGCTTTTTGACTGCTCACAATACCTTCTAAAAATACTAGTAATTCTTCCTGTCTGTCTAATAAGACATTCATATCTGTAGTTACATTACTAATAGTTATTTCTTAGTCCACTAACTGTTCCCATGTGCCTCTTTTATGCCAAATTAATTTTCATATTTCATGTTGGGACCAAATGGTTTTGCCCATGGCAAACCTCAATTTTATGACCTGCTGATGCTTCTCAGAAAACTGAACAAACGATGAGGACAGCTCTTCTTGAAAAAAATTTTTTTTGTTTTTCTTTCCTAAGTGTGTTGCTGTCCAAAATATTATCATATGTAGAGGGAGCTGTGTTCCTTTATATAAATCTGATGGCTCTTGCTGCTCTTTTTCCCTCTGAAAATATTTATATTTTACTATATTGTTTGTTACTTTAGAAATCAGTTTTGATGAAGGGAGGAGAAAAGCAGATGAACTTGAAAACGATCCAGATACCTATTCTCTATTAAGAAAAAGAAAGGCACGAAAACCTTTATAGTAAACTTTTTTATAAACTAAGGTCGTACCTTTTAATATGCAATAAACTCTCATTTCTTTGGGGTTCAGTCTTGGGATCCACCCATCCTTTGTGTTCTCTTTAATGCTGCCTGTCTTTTGAGGCACTCACTGCCCTAGACAACGCACAGAGGAAGCAGGGAGATGCCAGGTGACATCAACTCTCGGTCTTACTAGTTGTCAGCTTCTCTGGAAAAGGGACCACATCAGCGGGAGCCCTCTTGCTTGGCCATCATTGGGCCAGGTCATTCTCTTTAAATCAGACGTATAGTGGGCTCCCGATTTTTTTTGTTCTACCAAATTAGAATTAACATTAGTTTTGAGCATCACGTATCTGTTCCTCCCCCACACAACGTGCTTTTAACTCAGTGATCCCAATTTTTGCCACCGACTCTTCCACTCGATTTTATTTATTGTACATTCTCTGACACCCCTTGTCGTTTTTGCAACAACCTTTCCAATGTTTTTGGCCAAATCTGATTTTTTCGTCTCCTTCAAAACATTCTCCTCAAGCCCTGCCTCCCCTACTGGCTCTCCTCTGTAGTCCACCCCCCTCTTTCATCTAACACCTTGCTTAATACTTCACGTGTGTCTGCTGAGGTCTAGTGGGTTTTTTTGTCTTGCTTCTCACTTGATGTTGAAATTCTGTTATGGCAAGAGCTTTTTTTTTTTCCTTTCTCTTCCTGCAGTGTTTTGCATACATTAGATGTTCAGTACATAGGTTCGATGATTGAGAGTTGGCTGTGTGTAGATGCCCTACTATTTTCAGTAGAGTGATTTAGATAGTTTTCTTTTCCAACAAATTTCACATGCTCCGAAAACCTTAAAAGGTGATGATTTTTCACCTGGAAACTCCAGGTCCATTGTGTTTAAATTTCTGAGAATGTCAAGATGAAAATAATGGGGCTATCCCAAATTTGAGAGTATTGGTTATTCTGGGATGCTACAGTCAATTTAGTAAATGACCAAATTGTGATTTGAATGAATAAAGCTCAAAAAGTGATGTGTTCAACTCCTCCATCTCATTAAGCTCTGTATCACCTTCTAGAAGTTTTTTTGTCCTAAAGGGGGTATTCAAAAACAGACCTGTGGGATGTGTATGGAAATGCATACTCCTTTATTTACCTGCCATTGGAAACTGGAGAAATGATTGTTGGGCAACCCTTTATGTTTTTATTATGTTTTATTTGATGGAGAGTTTGTTTAGAAACGTTAGTTTTACATGTGTCATATTTTCAAAATCACTAACTGCCATCACCCAGTGGGGTCCTTTGTTAAGTCATTTTCTGTGGCTAGTAGGGTTAATAATCCAGATAACTTTTAAGAGATAAGCAGTGAGCAGGAAGTTTTCCTGCCTTTGGCTTTTGACAGCTCTTACTTATCATTTAAGACCAGCTTTCCCATAAATTTAGCCTTTTGAAAAAAAAGAGAGCATTTGTAATAAGCTTCTCTGTAAGGCGACATCAATGGAATCTTAAAAGTGTTGTTATCAGGGTTGATGAGAGAAAGAAACATTTCTGTTTTTATTAAATGGAGCATTATTTACAAAAAGCCATTGTTGAGATTTAGATCCCACATCATATAAATATCCATTAACCATTTCTAAATAAAAAAAACTCCAGTGTTGCTATGTGCAAGATCCTCTCTTGGGGCTTTTTTCCATAGCAATTAAAGGTGTGCTATTTGTCAGTAGCCATTTTTTGCAGTGATTTAAAGACCAAAGTTGTTTTACAGCTGTGTTACCGTTAAAGGTTTTTTTTATATGTATTAAATCAATTTATCACCGTTTGAAGCTTTGAATATCTGCAATCTTTGCCAAGATACTTTTTTATTTAAAAACATAACTTTGTAAATATTACCCTGTAATATTATATATACTTAATAAAACATTTTAAGCTATTTTGTTGGGCTATTTCTATTGTTGTTAAAGCAGGCCACAAGCACCTTTCTAAGAAATTTATTGTATTTTCAAGTTGTCCGTATTCGAGGTAACAATGCAAAGGATCAGTTAAGATACTAATTTAGAAGTTCTTTTTTAAAGAAAATAACCAAGAAGTAATCTTTTAACATATTTTTAATGTTTATTTTTGAGAGAGAGAATGCAAGCGGGGAAGGGGAAGAGAGAGAGGGGGAGACGGAATCCAAAGCAGGCTCCTGGCTCTGAGCTGTCAGCACAGAACCAGATGTGGGGCTCGAACCCACAAACCATGAGATCATGACCTGTGCCAAAGTCGGACGCTTAACTGACTGAGCCACTCAGGCACTCCACCAATAAGTAATCTTTTAATTGGAGCAAAGGTTTAACTAAAAGTTTTAAGCAAGTCCCTTGTGTTGAATTTTTCCCATGGTCTAGTGTGAACATCCCATGAGAAAGTAAGAACCCTGGGTTATGGTCCCATCTATACTGCTAACTAACAGAGAACTTGACAACCCCACCCCACGTTTCTGTGTCCTTCCTCACCAGCAGAATGAGAGAAACCTCTTCCAAGATACATGTAAGTTAAAACGGTTCTCCATTTCAATTGTTTGTCAGGACTGTTTTGATTACAAGTGAAAGAAAACTTGTATCTAAGAAAAATGGGGTTTATTGGCTAATGTTACTGAAAATTCAGATGCATTTCTGGATAGTGGGCCTCAGAACGGTGTCTTAAGGACCCAGCGTCTCGCCAGCTCTCCAGCTAGCTCTTGCCTACCTTCACAGGTTGCACGTGTATGGCGAAACAGCAATTGCAGTCCCGGACACCTTCTGCCAAGGTCTGGGAACATAGAGGGAAGAAAAAAAGAGTGCATCTCTCTCAGAAGTCCCATGCACCCCAGCTTGCACCTTGGCAGTTCTGACAAGGTCTGGGCCTCCTTCTCTCGCTCATCTAGACCAGGCGTCTCTGACACTCCCCCTGGGCTGGCCTGACCCCCATGTTGAGCCTGGAATGGAGACTGGGAGTGCCATCTGGGATGGGGGTGGGGACAGAGGGGAAGGAAACTTGAAGTCAAGTCAGGGGATTGTTACCAGGTGATGAGATGTCCCTAGCTTTTCCAGCACAGCATTCCTAGTCAGCGCCACA